TAGTGGGGAAAAGAAGCCGGGGTTTTGTGTGTGTGTGTGTGTGTGTGTGTGTGTGTGTGTGTGTCTGTGTGTAATTTTGTGTCTTTTTAATACTGTTAGGAATGCGTGTGATACAGTAGGAAATAGTGGGGAAAAGAAGCCGGGGTTTTGTGTGTGTGTGTGTGTGTGTGTGTGTGTGTGTGTGTGTGTGTGTGTGTGTGTGTGTGTGTGTGTGTGTGTGTCGCATTGTGAGATGTAACGCAGACTGGTCTGTTAGCCTTTGTGTGTGTTCATTGACACCTATGTATTAAAATGTGTGTCACAGCATCGAACAATGGCCAAGGACAGTGTGTGTGTGTGTGTGTGTGTGTGTGTGTGTGTGTGTGTGTGTGTGTGTGTGTGTGTGTGTGAGTGTGTGTGTGTGTTCACTTTCTGTAGAATAGGAACATAAATCTTGCTGAGTATCTGAATCAGTCAGCCATCCCCTCCAGTCCATTAAAGCTATAATCCCTCTAATGAGGTTTGTACTGGTACAGGCTGGAGCAGCAGCACACACACTTGAGCAGCACACAAATGACTTGTGCTTATAGAAACACACACACACACACACACACACACACACACACACACACACACACACACACACACACACACAAACACACAAACACACCCTTTTTGCTAGCAATCATATCATAAATATCTACTGTATACATGTGCAAAGTTATTTTAGAAGAGCTTAATAGATTTGTATATACAGTAATGTATATACTTTGCAATTGCACAACAGTTTAAGTAAAGAAATTACAGTAAAAGTTTTACCTTAGAAATGTAAAATGGGACTCAATAGAAAATACCAGATGCTGTTGCTGATACAACCCACAGAACCATGTTTTCCAATTTCATTAGTAACACCTACAATTTTATAACAACATGTCAAGATATCAGCACTTAGTCTGACCTGTTAGTTTCCTATTCTCACTGATATCTAAAGTCCTTTGCTGGACACATCCTTTTAAAACTTACATTAGAAACGTTGTACTTTTAGTAAAGCAGGCCTTTGAATAACTAAACCTGAGCGGAGCACTCTGTCTCTCTCCGTGGTGCTGAAAAGGTCAAACCCAACATATTGCTTCTCTCTTTACGGTGGTGAAACACTCAAACTCCTACTTCTATCTGAACACAAAGAACACATCTAACAACAACCTGCAGAAGCTTTACTTTAACAACTAAATAGACTTTATTTAAGTTTCTAAAAGACACAGTCATTTTCAAATGCAATTAGTAAAAGGATTCAGGTGAGAAAAGGACGACAGGAGAGACTAAGGACGTTACACTGGGGACGCAGATAGTTGACCTGCAGGTTAATTAATTTATAGCTTGTGGCAGAGAAATAGTACTATGTTAATCCATGACTGAAAACCGTGTAAACTTGAAGAAAAAAAGCTTTAAAGGTCCCATGACATGGCCATTTCTACTGATCTGATTTCTTCCATTGTTGAGGTCTACTAAAATAGATTTACATTGTTCAATGTTCCAAACTCAAATTGGTTTCTGATACAGCATCTCTGTATAGTATGTGTATTCACCCTCTGTCCTACACGCCTTGTTGGAGCTCCTGCCCCCGCTC